TGCAGGCTTGCCAGAGGCCTATGGAATAACATCAGAGGGGACAAGCAGAGATCCTAGTGAGCCTAGGAATTTCCCTATGTGCTCAGTCATGAGATAGGTGGAAGGAAGTAAGGGGAGAGCCCTGGGTTAATATGCTGGCATGGTGTTCTGGTGGATCAGGCTTGGGGAAGTTTGAATGGACTAGGAGCTTGCGTGGACAGAGACAAGGTCCCAGATCAGCACATACACCAGGAGCTTGGGACCCTAGTGGGAAGATAGAATTCCGGGTGAGCATACCACCACACTGGAAGACTGGGATTCAGAAGACTGGGATGGGGCTCAGCGACTATGGATTGCCTAGCAAGGGAGTAGGCGGATGTGTGCAGTAGTACGCTGAGGGAGTAGTTACAGATGAGGAATGACTTCTGAGGGACTTCCATGGACAGGGCCACTGTACTTGCAGGTAAGCAAGGGGGCTGATATCCAGCAGTTTGGAAGGGGGAACTGGAGGATTTTTAAGGTCAAACTGATGCACCAGCCCACATGGGAGACCTGAGCTTGGCTAGTTAGCATTGACCACCACTCACTGGCAAACATTGAAGTTAGAGCTGGGGACCTAGCTGGCAGGGCTAGAAGACAGTATCTGTTAGAGTCAGAAGAGGGAACAAGTGACATTAAGATTGCAGCACCCACAGGCACACCCAAGAATAGTGTGTGTGGGAGGCTGGGCTGCAACCTCTACTAGCTCATACACAGGTCAGGTCAGTGGGGGCAGACTATGTTGAGTAAGGGCCAAGACATACCGGTTGTGTGAAATCTTGGTCTGGGAATGGACCTTTTGGCATAACTCCCCTACTGGGCCACAGCTCCAACTGGCAGATATGTGATTTAAGTCTGGGTGTTGGTCAGGCTGGGCAAGGTAGCACCACCCATTGGCAAGTGTGTGGGTTGATTCTGGAGGGGGCAGACAGGGGAAGGTTGGGCCAAACCTTGGCACACTGGCATGTTCAAGAGTCAGGCTGGAGTATGAGTCATGACAGGCTAGGCTATCATACCTACCAGTTTTCATGACCCAGAGATGTGAGTATGCTGGGCAGGGTTAGGCTATAGCACACACCAGTGAGAGTTGGGACTGGAAGTGGGCCACGACAGGCTAGGTTGAAGCATTCAATGGCAAAAGCCAACATGGCGGACGGGCTTTGCTGAGCTGGGTCAGAGCAACTTGGCATGCGCAAGATCTGTGACTGGGAACAGACCTAGTTGCGAAGCTATGGGGATGCCTCAGCTGGGTTGTGGTTCCCATTGGTGAGAATGAGAGTAAGAAAGGAGGCAATGATCTTGGCTGGGCAGGCTGTAGTGTCCCTCTGCATGGGAATGGACTAGTTCTGAGGTGCACCAGACTAGGCTAGACTCTAGCACAGCTCCAGCTCCTGAAAGCCAGGGTGGGTTAGAATAGGCCGGGCTTGGTCTCAGCTCCTGCTGAAGCATGGAAGAGCTGTGTAAGGGTGTGAATCAAGTGTTACTGGGCTATAACACTAAACAGTAAGAACTGGAATGGGTGTGGGCAGGTTGATCAAGGTCATTGTTCCTACCAGAACAGGAGGTAAATTAAGTCTGTCTGGGCCAAGGACCCACCGTTGTGCATGAGATCTGACACTGCAGGAGACCTGAAAGAGGAGCGTGGGGAGCTCCTTTGTCAGGATGCAGTCCCTATAGGTGAGCACAAGAACCAAGGCAGTGAGCATCCCAGACCATACCAGGTTACAGTACTCACTCGAATACATACAGGCCATTTCTAGCGGTGGGCCAGTTTACCCGCTGGCATTAATGTGATCTACATAGTTGGGTTGGTTGGGTTGAACTGGGCTCTAATGCCACTTGATATATATGAGAGCTGAATGGGATGTGGGAAAGACTGGATCCATCTGCTGCACATTCTAACAAGCACAGGAACCACAGTTGGTGGCAGGCCTGGTAGAGGTTATTGTGAGCTGTTCTGACTGCTGGTGTACGATAGGGACAAGTGTGTAGTGGGCTGTGTTGGGCTTGGCCACAGCATCCATTGGTTGCATAAATGATAGGACTGCAGAGACTATATCTCACAGATGATTTTTTTTAGCTTCATCTCTTTAAAACTCCATTAAATTTTTCACCGACTCATAGATCATACAGTAGCATCACTGTCTTCAAGAAGGTTATTGATTTTTTTTTTCATTTCTTCAGCAACATGTTAGTCATTCTATTCAACATGTTAGTATGTTACTTAACTTCATGGCATTGTTAATTTCTTTCTTCTTCCTGTTGTTGATTTTGTTTTGTGGTTTTCATTTAAGGGAATGTATAGTAACTATGTAATGGAGACTAACATATCCAGATGCGAGGATACAATGCAGCATGCATCTCTATTTCCAGACCAAACTGTTTGCTATATTTTGGCAATAGGATGCTGAACACTCTGCCATTGTTCATGATTCAATGATGGACTTATGACTGTTTATGAAAAACTATACTATAGTAATAATATAGGGGAACCAAGTGGAGAGGAGAGAGGTTTCGGGAGGGGATAAGGGAAACCTCAGGGCCTGTGGAACTATATCATAAAATGATGATAATAATAATAAATAAATAAAGAAAGAAAGATAGGACTGGACACAGAAATGATCTAGCAATCGCAAATACCAGTGTCTGCAATATCAGGGTGACAGACTGAATCAGACCTTGCACTTGCAAGTAGGCACACTAGTCATGGCCAGGATCACACCAGAGGAGGTTTGGGGATCCCCCCACAACTGAACAGCTGGACTCCAACCATGGGGAGAAATACAGGATCTGTGGACTGACTGTGGAGTGCATGTATCAGAACTGGGCCTACTTAGTGGCTAAGAGGGTACAGTGGATGGCATGGAGGGTATGGCAGTCCACTGGGACCTTCAGAGGACCTCTGGTACCACAGCCGAGGATGGAAGACAGAACAAAATGATCAACTACCCCAGCCAAGCTTTGGCAGCAAATATCTGGGTGAATGGAGCCTCTAAAGTGAACTATTTCAGCCAATGAACCTTGGAAGAATTTTCTCATTTTTGGAGCAATGAAATCAATAGCATGTCAGAATTATCAAAACCACTTAAGCAGAACATCAGGAATTCTGGTTATTTATTTATTTATTTATTTAGTTGAACATCGGAGTTATAGAGAAAAAAAAAAACACTGAGAAAGAGAGCGTGATATTCCATCTCTTCCATATGTTACTTCATCCCTCCAAGAGATGTTCTGGGCTGAATCAAAGCTGCTAACCAGGAGTGCCATTAGACATCCAGGCCCCTCCCGTGGGTGGCAGCATCCTGGGACATCAGCTGCTGTCTTCCCAGGCACTTTAGCAGACAGCACAATGTGAAGTGCAAGAATTGAGATATGCAGCAACTTCAACAAGGAATGACAGCATGTCACACTAGCCTCCTACCCTGTCTCAGATCCACCCCTCTGACCTGGGACGACAGCTTATCACACAGACTTCCTAAACTGCACCAGCTCCAGACCCTCTCTTATCTGTTTTTCCCTTGGTTCTTTCATTCCAAATGTTTAACTTTTTTTTTTTTCTGAAGGACAGAGATTGATAGAAACGTGTTAAAAGAACTGAAAAGGAAGGCAAGAAGAATACATAAAAGAAACAAATTATTTTGAAGTTTATATACTACTCTCGATTAATGTTTAGCTGTTGGCGAACAAATGACTTTCTTTTTTTTTTAAACTACAAAAAGACTTAATCAAAGATATCATCATGAAAAAAATGTATAATTGATGGTTGCCAGCTTTATGCAGAGGTAGAAATGTCCAGTGTAGGGATCAACAGGGGACAGAGAAAAAACCTTGAGGTCGGTCCAGTGTGATCCATAACTGAGGAAGCTGTTCTGAAGATTCTAGCCAGGTTCACCCTTTATTGCCCTGCTTGGTAAAGAGAAGGCTCAAGTTCCAAAATTTTGAGGTTCCTTCTGGTTCTGAAACCTTGGGACTGTGGTGTAGGGCTAAGTCATCTGCAAAGAGATCTGAGGCTTGTGTGAACACCGAGTGACATGAAGGGACTGAGGTGAGTCCTGTCCCCTAGGGTGGATTTTTACCTTTATGGGGATGAGATGACATAGGCAGTGACCTTCATGTTGTAGCAGACAACAGTAAAAATGGCAGTAAAGTATTGATGATGTGTGGAGAACCATAAATCACAGCTGTGTAATGGTTTGCATTTTGCAATGTCCTTTTAGTTTCTTCTAACAGCTCACTTTCAGAAAAGACTCACTTTAACACAGCTTCTTAAAATTATACCTTGAAAATACCCTACCAGCCAATGCACCTGTAAAGTTATTTGGAGTCCAGCACATTGAGCTAATCAGCCAGCAAAAATGCTGGCATCCCATATTGGAGCACTTGTTTGAGTCTTGGTTGCTCTGCCTGCAATCCAGCTCCTGGCTAATGTGTCATCACAGGTAGTAGAAGACCAAGTACTTGAGGCCCTGACAATCACATGAGACACTTGGACTCCTGGCTTTGGCCTGAGCCAGGATAATCTGTGGAAGACATTTGGAGAATGAACCAGTGAGGATAATATTGGCCAGAGCTGAGCAGATCCTAAGCCAGGAGCCAGGTGCAGGTTCCCAAGGCTTTGGGCCATCTTCTACTGCTTTCCCAGGCCACAAGCAGGGAGATGGATAGGAAGCGATGCTGTTGGGACATGAACCGACACCCATATGGGATCCTGGCGAGTGCAAGGTGAGGATTCCAGCCACCAGGCCACTGCATCAGGCCCATTTAAATATTTTATTTTACTTGATTTAATTTTATAATTATTTTCCATGATACAATTGTTTTTCAAACAAAAAATACATTTTTTTTTTAAAATAAGAAGACAAACTGATAGTAGGAGTTTTGAAAAAATACAAACTTTTTTTTAACGGTTTTCTTTTTATTGGAAAGGCAGATTGATAGAGTGAAAAAGATCTTCTATCTGCTTCTCTCTCCCAGTGGACTTCATGGCTGAGTGTAAGCCAGTGTTCAGCCAGAGCTGGGAGCTTCGGCTGGGTCTCCCACACAGTTGCTTTGGGCCATCTTCTACTACGTTCCCAGGGCACAAGCAGATTGTTATATGGGAAGCGGAGAAGCCGGGATATTAGCTGGTACCCATATGGGATACCAGGCAAGCAAGGCTAGGATTTAGCTCTTATTATCATTATTATTTTTGAATTAGCTAGCCTGGCTATAATTTGGGATATGCTGTTTTCTAATGCTGTAACATTGTACATCCAATTAGATATTTCTAAGACTCACCTTCTCTGTAAAGGGAGTTGCACCTATATTCATGGCATTGTTAGGAGCAAATGTAATGATATTTGTTTCTCTCTGTTCATAGTATGTGATAAATGAACCAATGAGGCACGTGGATTATTTCTGTTTTCTTGGAATAGCTCTCACTAACAGAATTGGGTCTCTATCTCTCTCTCTTCTATCATTTTAGACAACTGTGATGACCCCGTAGCATCTCTGCTCTCTCCAATGGCTTTTTCCAGTTCCTCAGCCCTCGCTGGTACTCCTAGTGCAGCACAGCTCAACAGGAGAGTTGGTAAGTAGCGACACTCAAATCCAAAACTCAAAGGCTGAAAAGGACATACCTGTAAATGGAAGAAAAAGTGTTGACTTTGTTCCCTCCAAGGCACAAAATTACTATTTAAAAATATGTGTCTGCAGTTATATTGATTTATATCCAGTGTAGAAGATTAAAATGCACACGCGTGCACAGAGAAATGCAGAGATAAGAATGTTCCCATCAGTTGGTTCATGTGTACCAGTTGGTCTACTTCCCAAATGCCTGTGTTAGCCAGTCCTGACCTGGGTCAAATTGGGTGAGACTGAACTATCATCTGCTGCTTCTTAAAGTGTGGATTAGCATAATTCCCAGGAACTCTGATGTGGGACGCAAGCAACCTAATCAACGTCTTAACCTCCGGGTCAGACGCCTGCCTCCAGATTAACTTTTTATCAATTGAAGAGAGCTTTGTGAAAATACCTTTTGGTAAAAGTGCTTTCTGTGGCCAGAACTACAGCGCAGTAAATTAAGAGGCTGTCTAAACTGAGTGATATTTCAAGTTGTGGCTGCTCCATTGCTGATCGAGCTCCCTGATAACATACCTGGGAAGATAATCAAAGATGGCCCACGTGCTTGGATCCTTACTGTCACGTGAGTGACCCTAATGAACAGCCTGCTTGTTCGCTTTGCTCTGGCCCAGCCATGATTGTTACAATCCCTGAGGACTGAACCAGTGACTTAAAATCTATCTGCCTCTCCCTCTCTTGTATAATGAAGGCAGACCTTTCAAGTCACCAGCACCACCAACAACAAAAAATTCTCTTGAAAAATAGAGTTTTTTATTTTTACACTTTATGCATGTAACAGAATAGCTACTACGACATAATAGCATGCCAATTCTATAGCAAGAGGATTTATTAAAAATTTCCTCAAGGACAGAATCTCACTCTAAAAGTAACATCTTTTTAAAACAATATATACAACATATTTTATTCACAGGTGTTGAAGTAGAAGTAATATATAGTATTTCTACTAGCTACTGCAAGCAATGATAATAAAGTGTCTGGTGTGTGTTTCCAAAATATATGATGGGAAATAGGTAAGCACTCTTAGCCACTCCCTGGTGTGAAGTGCCTTGACTGCATGCAAAAACAAAACAAAAAAATAAATAAATAAATAAAAGGAAAGGGAACTAATTATTTCTGTGAAAAATGGTATAATACATGAAGCTGGGGGCCAGATCACCATTATCTTAGTCAATCTATATAATTGTGCTTCAAGAAGGATCTGCCTTAAGCCAGGCATGGTAGGCTAGTGGCTAGTATCCTCCCTTTGAATGCATCATAATCCCATATGGGTGCTGGTTCTTATCCCGGAGGCTCTACTTCCCATCCAGCTCCCTGCTTGTGGCCTGGGAAAGCAGTTGAGGATGGTCCAAAGCCTTGGGATCCTGCACCTGCATGGGAGACCCAGAAAGAAGTTCCTGGCTCCTGGCTTCAGATTGGCGCAGCACTGGTCGTTGTGGTCACTTGGGGAGTGAATCATCGGATGGGAGATCTTCTTTTCTTTCTCTCCTCCTCTCTGTATATCTGACTTTCCAACAAAAATAAAATAAATCAAAAAATAAAAAATAAAAAGAAGTGTCTGTCTTTGCCAACTATAATTTATTTTGTGGCAAGAAATTTTTTGATCTGGGCATTAACATGTCTGGGCTTCAGAGAATCATTTATAGTCAGTGGGAAGTGTAGGCGCTGCTGGCACAGAGTGAGGCCACTGAGCTGTGAATTAGAACATATGGAAAATGAGGGGAAAGACTAAAGTTACTTAATATGGCTAAATGGCAAACAGGAAGAGATGCTGTTGACTCCTTGGGAGGAGTGGTTTGTACATCTCTTTTCCATCCCTTTTATCCCACATAAAATTTGCAATTACATTTACCATTGTTCCTTGGAATTTTAACCTTTTTGCCTCGCTCAATGCATATACATTTTGAAATGCTTGTTCATTGAAGTTGAGAGGGCATGTTTCTGGCATGAAAACCTTGCTGCCATGGTGAGCTGGATATGCTCTGTGATGACATTTCAGCTTTCTGTCCTCATTCATGGATGAAGGGGCTTGAAGCTGCTTCTTCCTCCCTGCCACAGAATCTGTGCACACTTGCCACCTGCTCACCCTCAGATGCACCGGGGACCAAACACTTACGATTCAGGAAGGACTGCAAAAGTTGCTTCTTCAATTTTGTGCCATCAGGACATCCAAAGGAGATGGGAATTGCAAACAGTACAGGAATCAGGGCTCATTCATTCAATTAGCATGATTTCAGCTGTCTAGGGGCTTGTTCCAGGCGGTGTGGGGAGCGCACTGAAGGTCTCAATTTCACCAGAAATACCACACTATTGCTCATGTAGAGCACAATCTCTCAAAGCAGAGGTGAATTGAGCCTGGTGTCCTGTGGAAAGAATCTAATCTTTAAAAGACACAGATATACACAGAAATCATCTCCACTTTTGGAATGTCTTTTATACTTTCATCCTTTCTTAGCAACCCCGGGCATAGCTGGTATCAAATACTGTGTTTTCCTTGTATCTTCTCACTGTCCTTCACTACTCTGACTATGGACACAGGAGAACATTTTTGCCTCACCAACCATCTTGCTTTCTACGCAGAGCCATTGGTGTCAAAACCAGTACTTTAACAGCTATGGTAGTTACACATTTAAATTGAGATGTACCACCCTAGATTTTCCTGTCTGCTTCCTCTATTCTTAACAGTATGCCATTTTCAATATAAATCTGAGGAATGGGGCTAGTGGGGATAGATATTAAAGCTGGTTAATTCACAACACACAGAGAATCATGACAGAAATTTCAGAAGTGTATTTTTATGCACACCGCAGTATCCCCAACGCACCTGATGTTCTTACTTTTAAACAAGAGGAAACAAGTTACAAGCGAATTAATCACTGGTCAAGAGAAACACAGCTGATTTGTGGTAGGGATTGATTGGAATACAAGTTACCTGATATTGCTATTCATGTTGATCTGTGATCTTTATGAGAATAAAGATGTATTTTCTATAGGAGTTACATTTTCCCAGGTAATCCTTGCATTTCAAAATGAGTTCTTCCTGTTCTAACCACAAAGACTGGGTTTTCAGACCCACTGAGAGAAAGAATGATTTGTTTATCTTGGTATTCTCAATGTTCTCCAAATTTTACTGCAGCCTAATATGCTTGTGGGAAAAACATTTGATCTAGCTGCTCGAACACTCTAAGCCTCTTAGATTACTGGGTCAGGTATACATCACACTGAGAGTTACAGAACAGAAACCTGCAATTTATAGAAGCTTTGGGGCCTTGTTTCACATGGAGACAAATCCAAATGTGTCACTTCCTCTTCAGCTGGACTAATTGGAAAAAGAGAGGGGAGAACTGTGCAATCACATAAGTACTTTTGCTCACTTGCTAACGGCATGAATTCAAACATCACCCTTTAGCACAAGAGTGGTAGAGCCTCCCTACCCCTCAATTTGAATGGCCTGGTGTGCAAAAGCCCAGTTTCATTCCAATACAGTGAGACTGCCATAGGGCACATCTGACATTGGTAGAGTTGAACCCTCTCACAGAAGTTAGTGAAATAACGTGCCACAAACTGGGCTGATTCTTCACCTCCTGCACCTCACTTGGACTACTGGGTCACTTGGTTGGCCAATCTGTGCACTTAAATCTTGATTTCAGAAACTAGTTTTGAGGGTCTGGTATGATGGCTAATCCTGCTGTCAAGTGCTTGCAGCCCATATGGGCACCAGTTTGTGTCCTGGCTGTTCCACTTCCAATCCAGCTCCCTGCTTGTGGTCTGGGAGAGCAGTGGAGGATGGCCTGAAGCCTTGGGTCCCTGCACCCATGTGGTAGACCAGGAGGAAGCTACTGGCTTCTGATTGGGCTGTTGCAGCCATTTAGAGAGTGATCCAGTGAATGGAAGATTTTTTTTCTGTATCACCTTCTCTTTATACGTCTAATAAAAATATAATTTTAAATGAAAAAAAAAACCCAATAAATGGTCTTCATGGAATCCCAGCAAACACATTGATCTCCACCGTAATTACTGGATCTGCCTCAGAGCCAAAGTCTTCCTTTATCCACGAGCCCTATGCAGTACCAAGCCAAAGCCTCTACATCTTCAGTATCTGCTCAGGATCAAAATGAAAGTGCCAGGACTTCACTCCACAGCTTCTTTGCTGCAGAAGAGGTTCCTTGCTCAGATATAGATCATGCTAAATCCAGATGCTCAGACCCAAAGGGGAGGAGCAGAACCCCCCCACAGTGCTTCAAACATGCTGTGGGTGTCCTGACTACCCATCCACTCCCTGTGTAGTGTTAAATATTCATAGCATGTCCTCTCTTGCTTTCTCTATTATCATCAGTAGATAAGGATGAGAAATCAGACCTGGGCTGTAGAAGATTCTGCAGTCATATATTCTCTGCGGACCAGTTGGTTCTCTTTGCTTTGTTTATGAGTAAATGGAATTTAAAATTAGGTACAACTCTTGACTGTCTTGAAACTCAAGCAAGCTACCAAGAACAATATGAAGGATGAATTGCTTTTAGTAAAAATTGCTAGTCAGTACTGCCAACCGGCTCCTGGTAGATGCAGGTACCCTGGATTTCAATCCCCTACATTGACCTCCACTAATTATATGATCTAGAAAAAGCTGACATCCTGGCTGTATGATTAAGCTCATTTGAAAACCTCTCATTTAATTTAACTCTAGGAGCAGACTGGGTCTTGAATCAGGTCTTACAGCTTCAGTGCAGCGTCTCCTCATTCCATCTTTTCCCCACAAGCCAAGTAGTATAAGGCTTAGAAAACACTAAAAATAAACGAGGAAACATCCGAAGTAGTTTGGAATCCTATATTTAAAAAACTATTGAAAAAATTCCATATTCTATAAAATGTGAGATGATTTTTTTCACTTTTATGTTTTCATCAAATGAATCTAAATTTAAGCTTCAGTGTCTACACGAAGCTTTTTAGTTGATGGCTGTTGAGAATTCATTCACAGTTATAGATATACCATCTTACTTAAATTCTTCCACTTGACAGAAACACATATGTGTGTCTCTGTTAGCACCCACCCCTCTTAATAATTCAGAGACATGGAGCTCATTGTGTGTCTTTAGAGCAATTAAGAAAAATAGGTGCAGGCTACTCTCATCATTTTGAAAACACATTTATTTTGTGCTGAAAAGAACAGCATGTTTGTCATGGCAACCATGGCAACCCTGGGTGTCCGACCCTGTTGATTGTCTAGCAGCGAGAGTCTACAACTTCAGGGACGGAGTGACAGGCCATCAGCACCAGGCAGAGAACCTCCATGTAGAAGCCCAGACTGCAGTTCTGGGCCCAGGACTTCCTTAACAAGATGTGTTAATGAAGCCATCTCACCCTACTTAACTTCCAGCGGATTAATAAATTAAGGTTCTGAGGGAAAACAGAAAATGTGATTTTTTGACAAATGTAAAGAATATTTTCACAAATAATAAATACACATTTTAAAAAATTCCGATTTGACTTGTTTTGGATTGGTTTGATTCTTGTTTGGTTTTCTATCGTTTTTTATTTCTTGCAGAGAAAAAGTTGTTGTCATTTAAATTTTTATTCCAATCTTTAAATTTCATACTAAATTTAAATTCTTACTAAATGCTAACTAAAATGAATAAAGGACATGCCTTATGAAGCCAAGTTTTGGAATCCTAGCAGTAAAAGAAAAGCAGATAAGTTTTGAAGACTTGTGAAATGCATGCACAAGAAGCCAAAATTCCTTTACCATACTACCAGCTATGACATTGCTGCTTCCTGTTAAGATTACTTAATGAATCACAGATAAATATGGAACCAGCACAATGGCTCAACTTGGTACTCCTCCATCTTCAAGCACCAGCATGCCACATGGGCCCGGGTTCATGGAACAGTGGCTCTCATTCAGTTACCTACCTGTGACCTTGGAAAAGAGTGGAGGATAGTCCAAAGCTTTGGAACCTGGCATCCAAGTGGGAGATCTGGAAGGAATTTCTGCCCCCAGGCTTTGGATCAGTTTTGCTGCAGCCATCACAAATATTGTAGCCATTTGAAGAGTGAAACAGTGGATGGAAGATCTTTTCCTCTCCTCGTTTATGTAAATACGCCTTTTCAGTAAAAAATAAACAAATCTTAAAAGAAAGAAAAGAAAAGGAAAAATAAGAACGGAGGGTCTGGTACAATGTCTTAGTGGCTAAACCCTCATCTTGCATGTACCAGAATTTCATATGGGCACTGGTTTATGTCCTGACCGTTCCACTTCACATCCAGCTCTCTACCTGTGCCTGGAAAAGAAGTAGAGGCTGGCCAAAAGTCTAGGGACCCTACACCCACGTGGGAGGCCCAGAGGAAGCGCCAGGCTCTGGCTTCTGATTGGCTCAGCTGCAGCCATTGCGGCCACTTCGGGAGTGAACCAGTGAATGGAAGATTTTTGTTTACTTCCTTCTGTAAACTTGCCTTTTTAATAAAAGGAATTAAATCTTTAAAATAAGAATCTCAGCTTATAAAAGTAAGGTATGCTGATTACAGAAGACAAAATTCCAGAATGATAACATTATTTATACTTTCACTCTTCAAGAAATCACAATGTAAATTTATTTTTTATTATTTTAGTATTGTTAAAAACATTCACATTAAGGGCCCAGTGTGCTGGCCTAGTGGTTAAAGTCTTGGCCTTGAACGCAGTGGGATCCCATATGGACACCAGTTCAAATCCTGGCAGTCCCGCTTTCCATCCAGCTCCCTGCTTGTGGCCTGAGAAAGCAGTCAAGGACAGCCCAAAGGAATCCTGCACGCACGTGGGGAGACCTGGAGGAGGCTCGTGGTTCCTGGCTTTGGATTGGTTCAGCAGCATTTGTAGTCACTTGGGGAGCAAATCATTAGACGGAAGATCTTCTTCTCTGTCTCTCGTCTTCTCTGTATATCTGACTTTGCAATAAAAATAAGTAAATCTTTTTAAAAATTCATGTTATAACCATTCTTCCTTTTAAAAAAGATTATGTATGTATGTATTAGTTTGTTTGCTTGGAAAGTGAAGGGAGAGTCAGAGATGAATCTCCCACTTGCTTGTTCACTCCCCAAATGACCCTAATGTGCACGTTTGGTGCAGACCTAAGCCCGAAGTCAGAATCTCCTCTTGGATCTCCCACAGGATGGCAGGGGCCTGAGCATTTGGGCCATATTTCACTGTTTTTTTTGTTCAGTTATATTAGCAGAGAGCTAGATGGAAAGTGGGCTGCTGGCTGCTGACCTGGCAGATGGTGGCCTGACCCGCTACTGCACAAGGCCAACCTCATAATTCTGCCTGTTCTTCAATTAAGAAGTCAAGGTGGGTGTTTGGCACAGTGGTTCAGATGCTGCTTCTAACACCTGCACCTCGTTATCGCAGGGCTTGGGTTTGAGTGCCACCTCTGTATCACAATTGGTCCACGTGTCTTCCAAATAAGCAAGAGCAACATTGCCCTTCTGCAAAGTTCAAGCCTGACAACAACGAAATCCTGGTTTAGAGGCCCACTTGCATGTTTGAAGGCTGTTGCATGTCAAGTACACTGAATTACACATGATCCAACATAGCAGACTCTGTCAGGTTGCAGAGATTTCCAAAATCTTTATCCCTTCTTCCCTCCTGGATCTTTGTCTTACATTCCCTCTAGACATGGCTGCGTTTGCTCAGGGGTCCACCTTGCCATCTCTGTGGTTAGCAGGCTCCTTGACCACCTCCTGGGACACTATATATGCTGTGCTTCCATTTCCTCGTGTGAGGTTCCCTTAACCATCACATTAGGCATTTGTGCTTGTGTCTCCAGTGGACACCTGTTGTATGAAGTAATGTATGAATGAATAATATCCTTTAGTCACCAAGTCAGTGTCCTTTCAGCTTTTTTTTTTTTTTTGCACAATGGAATGCCTGGCCTATGATAGCTTCACAGTGAACATTTACAGAGACCAGGATAGCAGAGAAAAGAGAGGGAGAAACAAAACGGAAATCTGAAGGAAAGGAAAGAAGGAAGCGATGGAGAGAGAGGGAGAGAAGGAGAAAAGAAACAAACCCCACGAGGCATTTATATAAGTTGTAGCGGCTAAGGAAGAAAAGAAAAGGTGTAAGTGGTACAGCCTTTGTAATGAATCTTAAGCCGTGGCAGGAATTCAAATGGAGAAAGAGGAAGAAAAATGAGCTAGGAATATGCCAAGAGGTTAAGGACAGGGTCAGGGAAAAGTGGGGTCATTATATATTTTTGAACCTTGTAACGATGTAGGGCATTACTAGCACTCTCTTTGTGTGTCTCTGCTTTCACTCAGGAACTGGTGGTTGGTCCCCAGCTGACTCCAATGCCCAACAGTGGCTCCAGGTGGACCTGGGAAATCGAGTAGAGATCACAGCGGTGGCCACGCAGGGAAGATATGGAAGCTCCGACTGGGTGACGAGCTACAGCCTGATGTTCAGTGACACAGGACACAACTGGCAGCAGTACAGGCAGGAAAACAGCATCTGGGTAAGATCTGCTCTCTCTCTCGATGCACAAACTGCAAGTGCTCATGGTAACCAGTGAACATTTCTGCCATTTGACCATACACCCAATGTCAGTAATTCAGCCACTGTGGAGTGCACCTCCAGAAATAAGACACGTGGCAAGTGCTGTCTCCAACCCTGCTCACTCCCCAGGAAGCTACGGTGTCTCCTGCAAAATCTGGTTTTCCATTCCTGGAACCAGATAATTCACAGAATGAATCTCGACTTTCTCATCTGTACTGACAAATACATGGAGAAGTGTGCACTGTCTTTTAATTTCATGGTCCCAAGAACTTTTTGAAGTATAATTGTATATCACTGAATCTGTGAAGGAGATTGTGTTGACTCATTTATTGATTTGCTTGTTTGTGTAATGTATGCCAGGCATTTTTCATACACAACCAAACCAGCTTAGTTATTGCCACTTTATCAGAAGTTTCTTACTTCTGAATCCTGGTGAAGGGAAGCAAAACCACAATTTAAAGGGTTAAAATATTGTGATTCTCTGGTATGTCTTGAAGTCTGGTGTTGCAATGTCTCTAGCCTTGTTGTCGTTGCTGTTGCTTAAGACAGCTTTATCTATTCATGGTTTCTTCTGTTTCCAGATGAATTTTAGCCTTTTTTCTACTTCTGAGAGGAATATTATGATTTTGATTATAATTTTATTGGTGTCATGTTGAATATACAAATCATTTTGATATACAGTTTGGTATTAATACTTGTACTTCATGAATTAGGACAATTTTTTTTTCTATTGCTTTCTTCTTTTTCTTTCTTTATGTTTTGTAATTTTCAACATAGATAACCCACACATCATTAGGTTAATTTATTCCAAACTATTTAAACTCATTTCTAGCAATTGTGAATGGGACTGATATTATAAGTTCTTTTCAGCTAAGGCATTGTTTGTATGCACAAAAACTATTGACATTCTTATGCTGATTTTGTATCCTGTAAGTTTATCAAACTCTCAGAAATTTCAATAGTCTTCTAGTGGAATCTTTGGCTTCTCTGTAATCTGCAGAGATAGTTAGATGACCTCTTTTCCAATGTGTAGCCCTAAAGGCTCTGGCTGAAGCTTCCAGAGGCACACTGAGTAACAATGGTGAAAGTGAAAATATAAAATGTGGATTTATTCTGTCACTATAGATACACTTCAGTTTCTGGATGAAGGACAGTTTTTTTTTTGTCAAAATTGTAAAATAGAACTTTCTTTCTATAGTCCCAACCCCCTAAACTCCCAAGGATGCCTGAATTATTCAGTGAGGAAAGAGATCAAAGAGGGTAGAAAGCAAGTCACGTGCATGCAGCTTTAGAAGCCTGTGCACTGGGTAAGAGACCTATTTTATTTTTTGAGACTTGAGTTTGGGGAAAATCTGACCCTTTTTCCAAATGTACAGAAATTGGGAAGATTTGGTAATTGAGAGCACATTCGCTCCTTGTGAAAATCTTCCTAGGTACCTCCCCCCTTACATCATGGACAAAGATAATGCCAAATTACCATTGTCTAAAACTGCATGTGTTTGTGTTGACCTCAATTCTTCTGGAAAAAAAGGACCTATTTTAGATGAATTGCTATTTTTCCCATTGTTTATCTATCCCTTGGGTTTCTAATTAAGACTAAATAGAACACGAAAGGCAGATGGGGCAGACTATGCAATCTTTAGAACCTTGCAATCATCATATTGATTCTGGGTTGCTTGTAATATTAGGTTGCAATAGCTTTGGTTTTTCCTTATTTAAAAAATAGACCCTGCAGGACTTTTCTGTTTTTCTCTCCATCTTGAAGTCCCCATAGTTTTTGCAAGTTTGGGTCTCACTTCATTTTGAGTTTGAAATGAGAATTAGCTACGCTTTCCATTTTGTAGAACAATCTTCAGGTTTTGTCTTTTTTTTATAGTGTAGAAGTGATGGTGAGATAATTTGCTTTCACTGGCACTTTCAGTCTGAACTGGTGTTTTTCAGAAAATTTGTGGTTTTGGGTTGTTTTGTCTCAATTTTTGAAAACTTCCAGTCTCATTGTTGTCAGGACCAAGCACCCTGCTTTCAGTTGGCCCTCTATGCGAAGCTCTGTCTCAGCCACTTTTACCTTTTTCCTTGCTGCTGGTTTACTGTGCTTCCAAAAACAAACAAACAAACAAACAAATAAACAAACAAACAAAGAAACAAACAGCCACTTTGTGGTGGATCATATTTCCTATGCATGCATGCATGTGTGTATAGAGTTCTCTAGGTTTTTCAATCGATTGCTCCCTAGTTCCTAGCTAAGAATCTTTGGATTACAGCTGCCTTGCAAGTTACAATGGAAATTGCAAAAAGAAAGATGAGGCTTCACTGTGAGTCTGGTTTAGAACAGTAAAATTAAAGTCCCTCATAGCTCAGCATTTCCCCCTGACCCAAGTTGTTCTAACTCCACAGACAAAACTCTGCAGAAAAGGGGTGGGGGACCCACTGACAGGCCTTGTGAAAACAACGGCTGTCTTCACCCCAAACTAATATGATTCCCTGCATCCCTCTGAATATGCATTTATTCCCAAAGAGTGCCTGACTGCTTTCAATTGTTTTTCCATGATTCATACTAGAACTTTGCAACATGGGGTTTCATATCTTCAAGGAATAACATTCTCACACATTTACACATGTGGCGTTTAAACACATCACAGTCAATGTGTTGCCTTGAATATTAATATTCATGAGATGCTTTCCAGACTAGAGCAGATGTTTTGCTATCTTCCCTCCCTCCTCCCTACACACACACACACACACACACACACACACACACACACACACACACAAACAGCCTCTGCATTTGTGGTGGAATAGGATTCAGCAACCAATATCAGAGTAAGAAAGATTATCTGCTTAAAACCAATTTTCATAATCCATCCCTATTAAATTACTATTATTATTGGGAGGGAATAATCTTGAAGGCAGAATAGGGTAAGGACACACCTTAAATAGACAGAGAAACATTAGCCAGGGTGAAGCAGAGAGGGCACATCCCTGAAAATTGGATAGGACAGACTGATGGCATAGGGGTACCTGGAGATTGATAGACACAAGAAAGCAGTGGAGACAACAGTGTGGTGTTGCAGTGAACAGATACCTCAGTGGCATTCAGTGAGCACTGATCTGAACTTGACCAGCAGTTGGAGTGCTACCAGCAACCAGGTGGGAAGGAGATTCTCCAGGAACTCAGAAGGTGAATGCAGACCAAGAACTGTCCGTCCTGCTGATTGGTTTGATTTGACCAGGAGCAGAGACAGAGTGGCAGGTCCCGTGGGTGCTGTAGGGACTGGTAGATTTCACAGCCCAGACCTCCACTAGAGCAGAATTAAGCACTACTTTTGTATAAGGAGGCAAAGGCTACGGGACAGGACTATACAGTGCTAAGCTGGGAGTGAATTCCTTTCAGGCTCAGTGAATTGCAATGACATGGCATCCTATAGGTTCCACTCAAAATAGGTCGGGGTAGCCCTAACAGCTGACAGATGAAAAACTCCATGAGTGGTACATCAGGCACCATTTTGTATAGTGTGGCAAAGGCTTTAAGACTGCAGGGACGACAGTGAGCTGGGCATGTGCTGAGTTGGGAATAAACTCTCTGAGCTCAGTGCATTGCACTGGTCCCTCAGGGAAAATAACAATGACTTTGGCATCATGCAGGTCAAAATAGGTCCATGTGGCCAACAGATTCCAATAAGATCAGCACAACCAACAACCTATTTAGGGGACACTTGGTATCTCCCTAATCCTGGGAAATGCTTGCAAAGAAGTAGGGGAAAAGTTGTATAGACAATGATACAGCCTCAGCACAGGATTGTAGGAGGTAGAGAGTGGTGAGCCAGGAGCTGAGACTATGGAGACCATGGTGGAAAATTAACATAAGAGGCAAGGCGAAAACTCACTGGAGGGAATGACACAAGTGACTGTAGACAACAAACCTTGTACCACAATAAGTAAAACAGAATTGTTGACCTTTGAAGAGGTGACACAGCTTAGAAACCTGCCTTAGGACCTGGCGCAATAACCTAGTGGCTAAAGTCCTCACCTTGCATGTGTCAGGATCCCATATGGGCACCTGATCCAATCCTGGAAACCCTGCTTCCCATCCAGTTCCCTGCTTGTGGCCTGGGAAAGCAGTCCAGAATGGTCCAAAGCTTTGGGAGACCAGGGAGAGGCCCCTGTTTCCTGCCTTTGGGTCAGCACAGCTCTGGTTGTGGCAGCCACTTTGGGAGTGAAACAACAAATGGAAGATCTCGTCTATTTCTCCTCCTCTATATACCTGACTTTGCAATAAAAATAAAATAAATATTAAGAAGAAAAAAAAGAGAGAAGAGTCTGCTAACCAGAAGTATAATGACCAGGAGCAAAAGAAGAGACAGAGGAACAATAAATATTACTGAAGACTCTCCTGCAAAGGAGCAAAAGTCTTTGTCAACCTCAGAGCTACTGAGGAATACATTGAGAAAATAGGGGATAAAGAATTCAGAAAAATCATAGTAAAGCTTATTTATCAACAATGAGAAGCACATATAGGAGCTAAAGGAATTTAAAGAATATGCCACTCAGGAAATAACAACACTGAAACAAAATCAAGCTGAGTTACTGGAAATGAAAAATGCAATAAAGCAAATTAAGAATTAAATGGAAAGTCTCAATAATAGAATGAAGGAGGCAGAATTAAGAATCTTAGAACTGGAAGATATTTCTTGTCACAATGGGGAAACAATAAAAAAGCTGGAAGCAGAGCTGGGTCAAGCTAAAAAAGTGTTCAAGAATTAAGAGACACAATTAAAAGGCCAAATGTAAGCGTTACGGGAGTCCCAGAAGGTGTAGAAAGAGATGCTGTGTGATAAGTGTATTTAATGAAATAATAAAAGCAAATTTCCCTAATCTGGAGAAAGAATTGGGAAACAACATCCAGATGGGGCACAGAACTCCCAAAAGGGTTGACCAAAAGCAACCTTCACCACCACATGT